CCTAGAATTATTTTTTAATCATGTATTCCAAACTTGAATAAATTTGACTATTTCTTTACATATTAAAGACATGACAACAACAGATTAAATAGTCCTAGAAGAGTGACTTAAAGATATTTAAACGCCAGTATGATAGCCTATATGTAGCTTCACTATCAATGCAGTGTGAACACACAGTGATTACGTAATCATTTAAAAAAATTAATATTTATTGTGTGATTACTATGCAACAGTACTGGTTTGGTCACTGGGATGGTAGCGGTAGAAAAAAAGGTTAAAAATGCTTGCTTTTATTATCTACCCACTCAGAACTCAAAAAGCAAATTCAACTTATACAAGGATATCATATCCCATTAGGTATTTTCAATCTTTTTTTTGGTATGAAATTTAATTGTACTTATATAATGAATTATATAAGTGAACAATAACTTTTGGTTAAAATTATATTTATGCCACATTTCAGAAGATTGAAATCTGTTGAGTGTCCCCATTTACCCAAACACACTTATCTAGTTGCAAATATGTATGCATATTTTGAGATCTTAAGAGTGACAATGAATCATAGCTCAGGAAAGGCCTTCTTTGGATGGTCACTTATTAATAAGAAGGACTAGAGTGAAAGCAAAAGTGAAGATGATCTTGAATAACATAATTTGTACTTGGGATAATGGAAAAGCAGCAGTACTATAAAGAGAAATATTGAAGTTCAGAGTGGAACTGATTTTAGAATGGATAATTTATTTTCAAATATCAACTTGATGTGACAGCAAGTTACAAATTATCCCAGCATAAAAATTCTAGAATAGGGCTTAGGAAAAATACCACAGCTGAAGTCACCTGGATGTCATGAGCTTTTTAAACAGGAGTTTTAAAAGGAAAGGGTGAGCTCTCAGAAAAATGGATCAGCCAGTAAAAGGTAGAGACCTGAGCTGAGGACTGATACAGTTCCAAGCATCTGTTCCTCTCTCTCGCTCCCTCTCTTTAAACTCTTTAGGTGATCTCATCTGATTATAGATCAACTTGGCTAAATAAACACTTTCCTTATTTACACTCTTATAATTTAAATCTGCCCTGATATGAAAAGACATAAAGATGCAACCAAAATAAAATACAGAGCAAATACTTAAAACAATGAAGCATGTTTAAAAAATAAATAAAGCAGGAATATTATAGGCTATAATGAAGTTATATGGGGAAAATAACTCCCTATCTTCCAGTTTTTGCGAAATTTTCTATCTACACTTTTATTTGTAAGAAAAACAAAATTCTGTAAGCTTTAGGAATCAATTGTGGTATACTTGAGGGAAGAGTTGTTATTTACTAAATTTTAAAAGGGATAAATTTGCAAATATAAAAATAACCATTTAAGTTGGATCATGGCTGCATTAAGATTTTGAAGAGCACGAGTGTCTTAATGTAAAATGTTCTTAGAGCGAAAAAGAGAATGGCTTTACTGGATTTTTTAAAAATTGAAGCTTTAAAAAGGTAGTTAACAGACACCTCTCCTGCCTGCCTGTCACTATGAAGGTGCCTGTCTTCTTTCCCCTTTTCTTAATAAGCCTGTCCTTTTAAAATCTAAAAACAAACAAACAAATAAATACAATGTTAGTAGCAAAGTGAAAGAATGACAGGAGAAAGGAAAATGGTACTAAAAGGCTGACTGGTGAAAACTGAAGTTGAAGAACATGTATAGAATTCATACTGTTTTCTAGTAAAATATGTAGAGGGACATTCCTAAAAGAAATGTAGGCATAACTAGACATTTTGGTATGATAAGAAGAGGCTGGACTGGAGATGCATCCGAAAAGAACTGGTAGGACAGTTGTATAAAGCACACTTGGGTGTTAAAAGTTGAGAGAGGAGTGAATTCTATGCACAGAGGTTCAAAAGCTGTCTTGAAAAATTACATAATGAATTCAATCACAAGCTATGAGAAACATGAGACCATAAGACCATTACTCAAAGCCCAAAGCCAGTAACAAATCAGTTTATAACCAGGGACCTAAACTTGTCTTAGTTCCTCCTTTTTCTTTTTAAACAATATTTGCTTCCCCAATATCCCTTTGATCCCTCTCCCTCCTCCTCCCCTGCTGTATGTCTCTGGTTTATAATTGTCTGTTTTTGCTTTGTTGAGTTTTGTACTGTTACTATTTTTTTACACTGATGTCTTATTTGGTTCCCCTATTCCTGTTATAAGTGAAACCATCCAATATTTTTCTTTTCCTTCTGGCTTATTTCACTGAGCATAATTCCTTCTAGCTCCATCCACGTTGCTGCAAATGGCATGAGTTTATCTTTTTGATTGCTGAATAATATTCCATTGTGTACATGTACCACATCTTCTTGATCCAGTCGTCTATTTTTGGGCATTTGGGTTGTTTCCAGGTTTTACCTATTGTAAATAGTGCTGCAATAAACATAGGTGTACAGCTGTTTTTTTTGAATCCGTGTTTTTGTGTCCTTTGGCTAGATCTCTAGTAGTGGAATTGCCAGGTCATATGGTAGCTCCATTTTTAGTAGACAGAGGAACCTCCAGACAGCTTTCCATAGTGGTTGGACCAGTCTGCACACCCACCAGCAATGTAGGAGAGTTCCTCTGCAAAGCAGCAAAGAATATGCAACGGAACATGGACAGTTTGTTCAATAAATGGTGCTGGAAAACTGGACCTCCACATGCAAAAAAATGAAACTAGACCACCACCTCTCACCATGCACAAAAATCAACTCAAAATGGATAAAAGAACTGGACATAAGACCTGAAACCATAAAATATATAAAAGAAAGTATAGGTAAAACACTACAATACATACATCTCAGAAACATCTTTAAAGACTCATCACCCAAAGTGTGATAGTAAAGGCAAAGATAAACACCTGGGATTACATCAAACTGAAAAGCTTCTGTACAGAAAAAGAGACATTAACCAAAACAGAGAGATACCCCACTGACACCCCACTGGAAAAAAAAAAACTTTGCACTCCAGTCAACTGATAAGGGACTGATCACAAAGATATACAAAGAACTCACAAGGCTCAACAAAAACAAAATAAACAATCCAGTCAAGAAATGGACAGAAGAACTTAAAAGACATTTATCCAAAGGGGAAATGCAAATGGCCAACAGGCATATGAAAAAATGTTCAACATCCCTTATCATCAGGGAAACGCAAATCAAAACCACACTGAGATACCACCTTACACAACTAAGAATGTCACATATCAAAAAAACAAGAACAACAAATGTTGATGAGGATGTGGTGAAAAGCTCCTCCTTTTTCAGTAACATACCCAACACAGGAAAACACACTTTAACGCCTGTGTTTACACGGGTTTCAAATTAGATGCTAAAGAGGATAAACATTTATCTCTTATTTCCCCCATCTTCATTGAGATATAACTGGAAAATAAAAATTGCATATCTCTAAGGTAAAAATTTTTTAAATGTGTGCCAAAGTAATTTCAGGTTGTTGTACACTAAATGTTTGATACTTGCAATAAGGATTTTTTTTAAAGCACATATACCTATTGGCTTATAGCTTCCCTGTGTCCATATTTATCTGTAAGATTTTCTGGAAAAAAAGTTACTAGGGTATGATCTTCTTTTATGTTGTAAAATGCACATAACAAAACTGACTAGTTTAACAATTCCTGTGTGTGTGTGTATATACTTAAACACACTATACACACACACATCCTTAAACACTTAATACATAATTTCAGTGTCATTAAGTATATGCTCATTATGATGCAATCATCACCATTTTTCACCTCCAGAACATTTTCACCAGCCTAAACAGAAACTTTGCTCCCATTAAACACTAACTTCCCATTTCCCAGATTGCCCTAGACCAGTCTAGTGTTACGGACTTGGTTCCTTTATGGACCTCATTTAAGTGTAATTATACAATACTTGTCTTATTGTGTTTGACTTATTTCACTGAACATACTGTTTTCAAATTTCATCCATGTTGTAATATATCTGAGAATTTCCTTTTTAAGGAATTTAAAGGCATAATATTCCACAGTATGCAAACCACATTTTGTTTATCTACTGATAGACATTTGGATTATATATACAATTTTTGGCTATTGTGAATAATGCTGTTATGAATAGTGATGTGCAAATATCTGTTCAATCTTTGCTTTCAGTTCTTTTGCATATAAACCTAGAAGTGGAACTGCTGAATCGTATGGAAATTCTATACTTAATTCTTTTAAGGAATCATTGACTCTTTTCTATAATGACTGCCCCATTTTATATACCCACCAGCAATGCACAGGGTTCCAAATTCTCCACATTAAAAACAAAAAATGCTTTTTAAGGATAAATTGTGAATTAAAATTTTATGATACTATTTCTAGTCTTATTTCCTTTAATTTCTTTTCTACTTGTCTCTTGTTATTATCACTTAAATCAAAATCACAAGAAAGTCTGATTTTTAGAAACCCTAATTCCAAGAAGTCCATTGAGGGAGTGACAGAGAACGTTAAAGAAATTATAAAAGTTAGTTCACATAATAGTCATACAAAATGGGGCTAGAGGGTAGAATTTCCTCCCTAGAACCTAATACCTTACTACATTCCTTAGAATGTGAAAATAAATCCAATTTACAAGCTGAAAAAATAGAGCTCTGATAATAACTAGAGGGAAGTATGTACAAATGAAAAAGAGAGAATGAGTTTATATTTTAGGTGGAGATAGAAGAAAAGGTAGTAAGATAACACAGTTACATTTTCTATGGCTTCCTGATGGAGAGGTAATGAAGTTAGGATGACTTTTTGACATATTTTTCAGACTTGTATAAAGTGAACAATAATTGGAATTAAGTAAAATATTCAACATTTGAAACAGGTTAAATTAGAATCATTTTAGAATAAAAAAGTTAAATGACAGAATTCATAAGAACTTCTTTAACATGCAAAAGTGAACAATTTCTTGGGTTCATATGACTGTTGTGACATTTATTTCTACTTTAAAAATACAGTAATATAAATTAAAGAAAACAAATTGTTATTTTTGTAAAAAATTCCAAATTTCTTGTTAAAGAGAAATTAAAATGTAGTTGGACTTCATCAAAATTCAAAACAGAATTTCACAATTATTACCCAGACATGAAGGAATTGCCATGACCATCTTTCAGAATTATTTCAAACTTATTCACATAGAATTTTTATTAGTTTCGCTACTACAAGCACATTGAGACTATTTCCAAGTAGACGATAGCACTGTTTCACAGCTATATTCTCAGGAAATCCTAGAAGAAAAGAGAAAACAATTTATAATATTATATAATCATTTGTAATATTAGTTTCCAGAGATAAAGATTGCATTCTTAGGAAGAGTACACCAGTCATTTACATTAATAAGTCCCTAGGGTCTCTTAAGGGAAGAATCAAAAATATTATATAATATTACATTGCCTACACAAGACAATACATTACATAATATCATGATAGTATACTAACACAACATGCATAGACCTCATTAAAATCTGCGTATTAGTGAATGTTAGGAAAAGCAGTGGTTACCATGATTTCACATGATTTAATAACAGCTTTATGGAGACAAAAATTCACATTTTGTGAAATTCACCTTATTTAAAAAGTGTATAGTTTGGTAGATGTTAGTACACAGTCAGAGTTTTGTATACATCTCCATTATCTAATTCTAAAACATTTTCATCACCTTGAAAAGAAAGCTACTATCTATTACCAGTCATTCCCATTCTCCTTCCCTGCCTCCCAACCACTAATCTACTTCCTGTTTCTATGGATATGGCTATTCTGAACATGTAATATAAATGGAACCACATATATGTTGTCATTTGCTTCTGGTTTGTTTCACTGAGCATAATGTTTTCAAGGCTCATGAATGATACAAAGCAATACTTCTTTTCTTTCTACGACTGCATAATATTCTATTGCGTGGATATACCAGACTTGTTTATCCATTTACCCACTGACATACAGTTGGGTTGTTTTTATTTTTTTATTATCATGAATGATGCTGTTATGAATCTTATGTACAAGTTTTTGTGTAGACATGTTTTCAGTTCTTCTGGGTCATAGGGTAAGTCTAAGTCCAATAGTAGAGGAACTGCCAGACTATTTCCCAAAGGGGTGGACCATTTTATACTCCATCAGCATTGTACAAGGGATTTTATCTGCTCACATCTTTGCCAATGCCGCTACTATGTGTCATTTTATGAAATGGTACCTTAATTGTGGCTTTGTTTTACATTTTTCGAGTAACTAAGAACATTCAACATCCTCTCAGGTACTTACTGGCCATTTTTTTATATTCTTTCTAGAAATATCTATTCGAATTCTTTACCCATCATTAAACTGAATTATTTTTCCTTTTGTCACTGAGCTGTAAGAGTTCTTTATAAATTCTGGATACAAGTCCCTTATAGTTGCTTTTTATATTCTGCTTATTTTCATAAATTGACTTTGCCATATTGGACTTCTACTTGTTACATTCTTTTTCAAAGGAAAATGGCCCTCAGAGTCTATTATTTGCTGGAACAAAGCTTTGAAATTATCATCATAAGGACTGTCCATGCTTAAGAATGCACACTATTATGTTCGATACAAAGAATTTCATATTCAGTATCCTTTGGCATATCAACTGAATAAGGGACAAACAAATTAGATAATAAAATAAAGGAAAAACTTATAGAGCATTAAGAATAGCATAATTTCATACATTTGTATGGACCAGAATTTAGAGTTGATTATGATTAAAGTTTCTTTATCTACATTTGGCATTAAACTTACTGCTTTAAAATAATATTATCACAATAAAAGTTTATTTGCAATTGACAATAATCATGAAATTGCTGTTGTAAAGATAACATGTCTTAGCCAAACACATTAGTCATCTCATCGCAAAAATTATTTCATTCAAAGTAGCCAGAAGTACAAATATATCTACAAATAGATATTAAGAGTATGCCAGGGATGATCTTTTGCAATATTAAGATTACATCAGAGGGGAAGAAAGGTTTGAAAAACAAAGAATTTATAAAAAATAATATGTATTTTATATATAGATATTAAAATCTAATCTGGTTTACAGAAAATGACTTTTTATGTTAGGTTACTTTTTAGAATGAGCAGGTGCCAGTGAGGATGTGCAAAAAAATAAAGGAGCCCTCATGTACTACTGGTGGGAATGTAAAAATTTGTGCAGTCATTATGGAAAGCGGTATTGGGGTTCTTCAAAAATTTAAAAATGGAACTACCATATGATCCAGTAATCCCACTTCCAAGTATTGACTCAAAGAACACAAAATACCAATTTGAAAATATATATGTACACTATGTTCACAGCAACACTATTCACAATTGCCAAGATATGGAAACAACCCAACAATGGACAAGTACCCAACAATGGACAAGTGGATAAAGAAGCCGTTGGGTATATATGCACATGAGCGTGCACACACACGCATGCACGCACGCACACACAGCACACACACAGTGGACTAATACTCAGCCATTAAAAAAAAGATGAAATCTGGTCATTTGCAACAACATGACTGGACTTCCAGGGGATTGTGCTAAATGAACAAAGTTAGAAACAGAAAGACACTTTATGGTTTCATACACTGCGGACTACAAAGAGAAAAAAAAAAGAAAAACTAAAACAGATAATAGAATGATGATTACCAGAGTAGAAGGAGATGGAGAGGGAATGGACAGAAGGGGTTGGGATAATGACCAGACAATTGGTGGAGGACATGGTATGATATCGTTAATGAGGTAAGAAACTGTTCACCTGAAAACCGTACAGTTTTATAGACTAATATTACCTCAATAAAAAAAAAAAACCTCAATAAAAAAACATAGGTACAATAAAAATGATTCTCAGAAACAGAATTAATGAGGCCAAGATAGCAGCTTACATTCAATAAGAATTTCCCTCTTCCAAAGCCTGCTATCTCACATGTGATTGCATGTCTTTAGTCACAAAGAGAACCAGACAAAACGTATATGGCAAGATCAATGCAAATCCATCACTGCCAGTTTAAAAACCAACCAAATAATGCCCATTTTGTATCCAGAGTCAATAGGAACACATGTGAAGGACAGTTCTGTCAGAGTGCTACTCAATAATAACAGAGGCATGCTTGCTTGATTTTATAACAAAATATATGCTTAAAAAAAGCTAAGCAATTAAAAGGGCTTTCTTAAGCATATTATACACATATTTTCATAGAGCTTTGAAAAATCCTACTTGTCTCCTAAAATTTAAAAATAAGGAAAAATATTTATGAGGTCAAGATTGTAAAAGCAAATAAATGTAAATGTCCACCATAAAAAAAACAGCTGACATGTCAGTTGTTATGTAAACATTTTACATATGCTAACATACGTAACAAGCCTGGGCTATAAATATCATTTTACAAATCCATAAAGTAAGGTAGAGGGTAGTTAGGGTAGAGCTAGGATAGTCCAACCATGAGGTTCATACTGTTTCGGTATTACCAAAGCGACCACTACTCCTTGAAAAACAAGCACATGAGCAATATTCAGAAATAAATTTTTATTAAAGAGGCCATCTCTTTTCTCTCTTCATTACATAGAAAATACCTCTGATTACTCATTCTAAAAAAGAGAAAATAACAGTAACTAGGAAAGCAGACTGGGAATTATACTCTTGAGTCCAATTCTCAGCTTTTTATTTGTTTTATGATTTTGTCACTCACTTTATGACACAAACTAAGACAAGGAAAGTTTGTGTTTTTCTTAAATCATGCTCCCAGGATATCTAGGAGTGAATGAGATCACTAAGAAAAAGGCAGAGTACAAAACAAACCTAGTTGCTGTGACTACACTCAGAGAATCATTTACCAAGAGGATAGTCAAATTACATTTGGCAGTTTGTTCTCAGAATACAAAAGGGAAGTGCTCTAAAACCTTATCTATTAATTCATCACCCTTCTACCACCCACTTTGCCATTTTCTCTTTTCTCCACTTAAACGTTCTAGTGAAGACAATGACACAGAATTAATAAAATGTTTCTTTGAGCAGCACAAACACAAATATAGTCCCACAAAAAAATGAAAAATTCCTCAACTGCCTTTGAATTTGTTTTAAAAAAGATAATGCTAATCATTCTTTCAGAAGATCCAGTGAGGGGTTATGGCAGCAGGACCTCTGAAGCAAGAAAGTAAGTAGGAGAAAAAAGTGCTATTAACAACCAGCTCTGAGGAAAGATGAAGATTTGCAGATTTGGCCCTTCTCCCCCTACAAACCACTCAGACCATTACTGAAATAAAGAGAGGGAGAGTCGAGTCTGAAGGAATGGACTGAAGCAAGTAACCAATGAATGAGGAAGAGAAAGGAAGGAAAATGCCAAATGGCACAATCAGGAAAGGAAGATTTCTTATACCCATCAGTCTGGGCAAGGGTTTGTTCATAAAACACAGGAATCCCTATGAATTCGGGGACCTTTATAAAATGAAAGCTGAGGTCTGCATGTATATCACATACCAAACTCTGGAGGAAATCCAAGAAGATTTGCTATTTCTTTAGGAGTGAAATATCGAAGTTTAAGCAGTAACAATTTTGCTATCTTTTCTTCTTCTGACAAATTGGTAAGGGATTTGTAGATAGTCTCAATCTGTAAGAAAACATCCAAGATAACTGATAAAGGAGTGCCAGTAGATTTGTTAAAACCACTAATTGTTAGACAGTTTAAAATGATGGACATAATAGTCTACTGTAACACATGGTAGCAAAACACACGGGAAAATGTGCAATAAAATGCGTAACAGGCCCATTAACAGCACGCAAACTATGAAAATAAACAACAGTTTTATTATGAGCAGATCAAGGCATTTTCAGTGTAACTGTCACTTTTAATGACTCAAAAATTAAATCATATGAATATAAACAATAAATGACAATAGAAAAACACAAAAAACACAATAGAAAAACACACAAAACAAAAACCAAACTTGGTCAGCCCATAAAGTCTATTTACCGTGCTAACAAGTAATCACTAAAATATCTACTGTTCAATAACAGGTTCATCATACTAAGGTATTTTCTTAAAACAATAAAACATAGGTAGTAAATTTACCACTGAGAGAATTTTTACTATGAGTGAATTTTATTAATAGTCAGAGTTTAGATAAGTATAAAAGGAGATAATGTGATTTCACTTCAAAACTAATAAAAAATATTTCAAACTTATATCAAGTTTGTATTCAACCATTCCATCATGAAGAGTTTATAATTTTTTTGTAATCTCAGCCTTATTAAATGCGCCACCATACACTAATCTATGGCAGTCACTTCCTACTTACAAACATCAAACTACCTGGTTAGTCACAGTGTCCACAATCAGCACACTATGCATGCAACAATGCCACTGATATATATAAATATATACACACATGTATACAGATATACATGTGTGTATATATACACGCACATATTTCCATGAAAAATAAAATTGCATGTCACAGCTATTTTCCATATTATCCATTAGGCATATTAAGTAATGTGTGCATATACACACACACACACACACACACACACGAAAACCATAAATAATAATAATAATAATAATGTCTTGGGGAGTATAAGTATACCTTACAAAGTATTCTAGCCACAAAGAATTTATAATTGAAATATTAAGAATCTTGCTAAAATATAATTTTTCCCAAATCATGTGCTCCAAAGGAATGTTCCAACATTAATGTTTGTGCATAATTTTTGAGAACATTAACTACTACATGCTATATATCATTTTACCCTTTATGGAAGCAAAGGAGTTACAAAGACAAGAATAAGGGAAAGCAAAAACATTTAACATTCTATGTACACAACTGCATCTCCAGTAACAAAAAGAAAAGATTTATTATAAAAAATTATTACACATATGAATATACTAATGAGTATGTACAATAATTTTAATGTTCTCAAATTTTAGCTATTAAATATAATTTCACTGAAAATAATTTTCAAGTATTTTAGTTCTAAACTACATATAGTACCTGTACATCCTCTGTAGTTTGCAACACAGATCCTGTTCCTTCTATGTACCTTCCATAACTGAAAAATTAACATAAATATTATGCAGTACCTAATGTATTTGTTAATGGTAACTTTCTTATATATTTCTTTAAAGAGTAATAAATTTCCATCATTCTGAAATATTCTGAATATCACATAAATATGTTTTATAATTGAATAATTACTAAGTAAAAGATAAAGATCATTCTATGTAAACTTCCCAGGCACTAAACTGGGCATCATTTAAGTTGTGTAAATACCATTTTACTTTATGTATTACTGTCATTTCTCCATACTATCAGTTTTAATGTTCATCAGTATGAAGCTTACACTTGTTATGACTTTATTTACAAATACTATCCAATATTGGCACCCCTGCTATATTAAACCATATGTAATGTACATGAAAATAAATTGCTGTTAATTTGCCTAAACCATCATTTCTTCTGATGACCCCAAAACCCTACTCTCCAGTACCATAACAAATACGGATCTACCAAACTTATCTGCTTCTTACTGTAATACAGTATACCTTTACTTTTTCATATAACAATCAAACCACTGTATAAGTAATTGCATGAAATGCATAAAATACTACAGAAATGCAATGTATTCATATTTCTTTCCCTAAGATCATTACCAATATGGATGTTCAACATATCATTATTATTTTTCCCTAACTTATCAATTTAAGATATAAATTAGAAAAAGTCACTATGGAAAATGTTTTTCAAGTTGTTTTCTCATATCACACACACATAAAATGATTAAAAATGTGTTTATGTCTACATTAACTACACTAAAATAGACTTTCACAGTGTTTCCTTAATACCATCTTTATAATTTCAAAAGAATTTCTGGGTTATTTTATTACAAAATTGGTAAGTCTTGTTTTATGAGAAACCTACCACACTAGGAAATAGAAAACAGCTGACTGTAGTCTTTTAAGGTAATGGAAAACAATAAACTCACTTCCTTGGAATTTCAAGGGCAGAATATGAGAAAATCAGAATGAGCCTGGTGTGTCTATATAAAAAAACACTGCATTTTGAACAGATAACTATCTAGTATGGAAAAAGAGAAGTCTTAACTTTCACATCATACAACTACCTATCAAATAAGGTTCAGTGGCATTAACAAAGCGGAGATAAATATCTTTTATATAATTTTCTGGAAATATCTAATTTCCCCCTTTTTCCTAGGTTTAATCAAATTGATAATAACATTTCAGAAATACATTAAAGCCCCCTAAAGGTAATCAATAAAATAAATTCATATATCTATAACAGAATAGAAAAGTTCTATATATATATTCACATGTAATAATACCCAATATATATTGTGCAATTATAAAAGGGGGCAAGGATAATGTATATAGTGTGCTATTATCTAGTTTAGGGGATAAAAATACACATGTATAGTTAGGTATAGCCTCACACCCAATAATCTGGAAGATGAAACAGTTGAACAGTCAAGAGACGGAAGTGGAAAAGAGTCTACAATATTAGTACTTTTAGAATTTTGAACCATGAGAATATTTACTTATTTAAAAAACTGAATAAATTTTAAGTATGTTTTAACATACCCCAGATGATTCCATTTTGTTTATCTTAAAATTTAATTTCTTCTTAGACAGTGATCATGAGAATAGACATAAATGTTGGAGGTCTGATGTGCCATAAAATGAAAGGTGCTAAAAATCAGCAATTCACCATCTATAGAAAACATGTTTCTACCACAGATAATAAACTCCCATGAAGGTCATCAAACAAATGGCACTGTCTTTTATAAGCACTTTTATGGATTGTGCACATGTTTTGCCAAGAGGAATTTTACTCAAGGATTCTACTAGACCAAGAAGCAGGCAATTAAGGACAAGAAAAAAATCATTCCATTATTTTATAAAATACTAATGTTTCTGAAAGAACCAAAAGCCATGAAATCCTGTTTAATTCTGGACATACCACAAATAGAGTCTCTTTAATACCTACCCTTTTGTGAAGCAGGTGGACCTTCGGCAAGTAGGCTTAACAATATCTAACAAAAGAGAATATCGCAACAGTGACTCTGGTGGTAAAAAGTACTGCTTCATGTCAATATCATCTTCAAGAAAGTCTTTTAACATTTGCACAGAGAGATCGCTATCCTGTTGATGTTTTCTGTCAATTTCTTTTGCAGTTTCAAGCTTAAAAAGAACAGTCTCTTTTTGAGAATATTGCGTGCTATTATCAAAGCAATTATGTGGTTCGATTATCTTTTCTTCAAGTTTCTTTTCTGGATCTATTGCATGTTTTTGCAGGACTTCAAAGTGAATTTCGGGGAACTCCATTAATATCTGAAATTAATAGAAATACACAAATTGTCAAAAGCTTCAATAAAAATAAAAGACAACTTAATGTATAAATTCCAGTAAACATCATGCAAAAATATTCTTTAGCATTTACAGAGGTATTTAAAAGCAAAGAAACATGGTTTACTTGTATTTACACAAGTTGTTACAAGTTTTTAATCACATAGCTAGAATGACATCATGCTACTATTTATTTCATGGAGTTACCGCTTTTTGTTTTTCAGAGAGGGAGGGAGGAGCACAGGGGACTGAGGTGAGGGTGCACCAGTGCATTGGTGAAGGAAATTCTATGGGGACTACACCTGAGGGGGTGAGGGGAAGCAAATATTATTTAAAAATGAACAATGATGTAAAAAGTAAAAAAAAATTATTAAAAAAATAAATTTAAAAAAAACACGAGTCAACAAAGTAATAGGAAGCATGTTGAATACAGATAAAGCATCATATTTGGAAAAGAAGTTTTGAAAGCACCATTAATATTTCCAGAAAATGTGTTTTGAATAAAAGCCCACTATTTCAGAGACCTAAAAAAATCTAGTAATTAAAAAAAGAAAAGCACTTTTCATACTGCAAGGTTATTGCTACTGTTGAGTCTCCTAGGAAAAAAATGTTGCTGAAAAGTAACCATGTGTTAAATAAAGTTCTATTGTATAAAAGAAAGACAATTCCAGGAATTCATAATGAACTGTTTCTTAGTATTTTTTATAAACTGTTTTTTGAATTGCCTACATGGAAAGGATAACTATTGGTATTGTATAATTAGATATTATATAATATTGGTATTGTATTATAGGAGATTCAAATCACATTATTGATCCCCTATTAGTAGAACATACTTTTGAGTTCTTACCTGTGAGCTCCACTGAACTAATCCAAACCAATTTTTTTTTTATTAATCACTACTGTATTTTAATCAATTAAGGGTCAATAGGATTAACATGAAACAAAAAGTAACCAATGTACTAACATACTCTTGCACTATTTTTAAAATTAGTATATTGAATTTTATCAAAAATAGTCAATGACTTCTACATAAGGGAAAGTAATACATGTAAAATAGTCAAGAAAGTAAATTACTGAGGAAAAAAAGCATAGTAGCAATAATTTTTATTTTACTTTTAACTTACTTTTCTTCTAATGATGAAAGAAAAGTTTTTGATTTATGACGGTGGCAACAGAAGAGAAAAACAACCTTGGCCATAGACATTGGCAATGGTCTATATTACAGACTATATAGCACACATATTAATCCCCACAAGGTTGTTCTTGAAAATAAATTAACAAACTGAATATATTTACAATATAATAAAAAACAACAACAATAATCTAACAATAATAATAATAATAACACCACCTGCCCAGGGACTTGAAAAGAGAATGGCTCTGGCTGAAGCTTTGCGATAAGGAAATAGCGTAGTCTTGAATTTGGAATGCCAAGCTGTAAATAAAGCAGAGCAGTTAACTAAAGGAAATTAAAGAACTCTATATCAACTGTTAGAAGGTAGTGAAAAAAATTCACTCAGATATATATTTGGCTACTGCCAAAGAAAAGTCTTTGATTGATTGAGAAGACTTCTTTATGACACATTCTTAAATCTCTGAAACTGCTGCTTTGTACATTTACTTGGAAAAAAACAATGACTCTTATGAATCATATGTACAAGTCACTTCATTTTATATTCTCCAGGTAAGACGTTATGTAAGAATATTTTTATATTTGTTATTGATAATATAGTAGCCATAAAAAGTGAAATTTAAATATAGAAATTCTTGGATATTTATTACATCATTTTATTTTTTAAAAAGGAGGATTTACTAAATTTTAAAAGTAAAAAGGCTATAAATTTGAAATAAACTTAAAAACATCAGGTATATTGCCAATTTCCATAGCTTATATAACTTACTTATGAAATGGGCAATGACATTTGTTCTTCTAGTAAGAACTATGACAAAAGATGAAATAGTGATAATAGTAATATCAAATGTTTACCAAATATCATATCAAATATCATAACCACTTAAATGTCTTACCCACACAAATAGAAGAAATGCTTGTATTTTAATAATTTGACTCAAAAAAAGCAATTAGAAAATTATCTGTTCATTTTTTTTCTATTTTGAATTATTGTCAAGCATATACCACACACCCAGTATATAAATACCAAATGTCACATATCTTCAAAACATACTACCCTTAATTTTCTATGTGGAAAGAAAAATACATTCATTGTGAGTTTTAAGATAGACAGATGTTATATATCTATACACATACATACACATTTATTTCATAAAAATATATTAGTAGGTCTAAGTGCCTGTATTACATTGTTTAGAAATTAAGACTCATGTCTGAACTCATTTCAGCATTTACCACTAATATGATCCAAAACAGATCCATTCTTTTCATTGAATCTAATTACCTTTGGGAAAATTTATATAAGAGTTTTTCAGTGTGGTACCTACGGAGGTTGGAGACAATAGAAATTCTTGGTACTGAAAGCCGCAATTTTCTATTGTTTGCACTAAGAGGTCTCTGAAAAGACAAAAAGAAAAGGAAAAAGAAAAAATTTCCCCTATAGTTAGAAATGCAGTTCTTACATAAAATACCGTACGTAAAGCTTCATTCTAACTCCACTCAAATTTGTTAGAAAGAGAATGATCCTAGAACTCTAGTCAGTCAAGTACTTCTCAAAAAAAAAAAAAAAAAGATAACTATTATAACTCTCTAACTCTATTATAACTCTCTATGTATAGAACGGTATTATAACTCTCTATGTACAGAAATAACTTTCTATTATAAACAAAACTTAATCCAATCCAAACTGGTGGAGTTAAAATTGCCAATCTACTAATGATAAATTTACTGAGGGAACTGAAACAAAATCTGCAGCAAATCAGACGGGAAAACACTGTAGAGAGCAGCTCAGTCAAGAACGTGGATGGGGCCTCCCCGGTGGCGCAGCGGTTGAGCACTGGGTTGCGAAGCTGCCCGCGGCCTCGGCGGCGCCGGTTCGATCCCCAGCTGCTCCCCAGCCACTGGAGGAGGGTCCCACATGGCGCGCAGACCTCTCCTGCCGCCCGCTGCTCCCCTCAGCAGTGTACTTCGGTCCTTCTGCCTGCTCTGCTCCCTGCTCTGGCTCTGGTGAATTCTCTCACCCTCCCGTGCTTCTGACTGTACCCAGTGCATGTATAAACAAAACAAACAAACAAATAAAATAAATAAATAAAAACATGCCTCTAGGGGCCTCCCTGGTGGCGCAGCGGTTGAGCGCTGGGTTGCGAAGCTCCCCGCGACCTCCACGGCGCTGGTTCAATCCCCGGCTGCTCCCCGGCCACCGGAGGAGGGTCCCACATGGCGCGCAGACCTCTCCTGCCGCCCGCTGCTCCCCTCAGCAGTGTACTTCGGTCCTTCTGCCTGCTCTGCTCCCCGCTCTGGCTCTGGTGAATTCTCTCACCCTCCCGCACTTCTGACTGTACCCAGTGCATGTATAAACTAACAAACAAATAAATAAATAAATAAAATACGTGCCTCTTTAAAAAAAAAAAAAAAAAACATGCCTCTATTTAAAAAAAAAAAGAACGTGGATGGATGTTTGCTCTCCGTTTGGCAAACGGAGAAAGGGCCCTCACACATCGCTTGCTTCTTCCATCTAACTGTAGGATAGAAAACACCTGCTACCATGACCAACTCTTACTGAACACATAACTATTTCTTTTTTTTTCCTATGACAGTCAAGTATAAGTTTAACTTTTATTAAACACATGTTTTAATTTACATTAATTTTAGCATGAGTGTTTGGAGTAAATGAAAGGTTAAATTTATTCAAGGTTACTTGCTGATAGAATTTGTGAATGGTAGTAAAAGTCTTCATAAACTATAGTTCGTGTAGTTTTGAAGACCATCTTTTAAATAAATAAATATTTTAAAGCCTAGTGTTATGAGTTATTCAAACACTTCCCTTTTACAGTGTTTCTATTACTTACTTTGAAAATTTATTAATAAAACAAGCTACAGTGATAGGTGATTATATGAATGTATAGATGGAAAGGGATGTTACCACAAATGTAGCAAAATGATCATGTAAAATTTAGGAACTGATTTTCCGGGTATTCACTATATAATTTTTTCAGTTTTTGTTTATGTTTGACAATTTTCATAATAAAATCACTATGAAGATGAATTAGTGTTTTAAATTTCAGGTTTTTTTTTTTTTTAAAGGTTAACAAAAGCACTATTTCTAAAGATACAGGAAACAACAGAAGCAGCTAAAATTGAGAAATACCATTCTCATTAAGATAAGAATTCTGGACAACTTCAAACATCAAAATGGGAGAGAATCAGTTAAGCCTAACTTTGTGATAATTTATATTATTAACTAGTAAGAATCAGTTCTAATGAACAAAATACACAACCGATGTATAACGTCAGAACGTACATGTTTATTTTTAGGATTATTGTATCCCGCTATAAAATAGACCACGTCTAAGATGAACATGTGACAAATGCATTTCTTACCTTGTAGAAGATACTTCAAAACCTTTAACATTTTCTAAAAGAATATACTTTGGTAATTTTTGTAACCTAAAAAAAATAAATAAACAAATGGCAATCCAAATATTTCATCACTAAAATACAAAAAAACTTTACTTGTGGGAGTTATGAAGTAAGTCATTTTCTTAACTCTCTTTTTAATAGAATTTTATGAGATGAAAACAACTCATTTTATTCATTTCCTCCCATACAAATGGCATACTTGATAAAGTTAACATTTGAAATGTTAGTTTCCATTGAAGTTTATCTCAAAACTTGGGTTCACACAGAGAACTCTGAACTGCACAACTCAAAGAGCTGTCATGTCCAGAGAATGGCAGTTTCCAGGGTAAGCACAAATTTTCAGGTCATAGGCAAGATCATTCACTTATATCAATATTAGCATCACTTGCATTAATACAATGAACAGAGGCTTGAGAATTTAGTTATTAGGCTGTAATTTTCTGTTACTCACTGTAGCAGCAACCCTGAAAATGGCAAACATTTGCAGTTATTGCTAGTCATGACAGAAAAAGATAAATGATGTGCACGGTATCTGAAGGCAGCATCAAACTCTATTAAATAACAAACATCACATTCTTCTAGTTGCAAAGTTTTTAAATTTAACGTAATTTTTTAAAAGAAATGAGGTTTTTACCTTGGGAGAATATCTAGAATATATAAGAAGCTCTTTGTCCTTGGATCTGTCACATCACCTTGCAGGCCAATTCTAAAAGGGAAAAAAAAGCACAAATACATTTACCAAGAATCTTATAAGAAGATATCAAATTAATTTTAAAAAGTAAATACTGAGAGAATTAAAATTAGTTGGTCCTTACAAAATAAACAATCATAGTTGTTGCTATGAAGAACAAATGCATTCATTGATTTAATTAAAAATATAAAAAGCCTTGCCTATTAATAAATACACTTAAAATTTATTTTTACAGAACAGTATGTTAAGTGACTTACATATAGCAAAGAACAAAAAGTCAATGAAAATTAAATTCAATTACTCTCTCTTAAAATGACTTGATATAGGAAACACACACATGCACGCACACACACAGCTTTTGCTCTATCCCAGATAAGCCAACAAAAGTTCAGATGAATGAGTTGGTTTTATAGGGTGGCAACATAACAGATGATGGTACTGATGACTAATCAATATCCAAACAAATCAAAGTAGTAGATAAAATTGCAACAATTTTGTCCAATTTTGACCTTAAGAGACTTAAACTTAAGGTCAAAACTGGTAATGTAACAATCAGATTTTACAAGTAAGATTCAATATGATCAAGGATCGAACAGAAAGAAAGACGTGGATTGAGCATGAGTAGTAGAAACAGAGGAACAGGGAATAAGATCTTGCTATGTATTAGCTTCACAGTCTGAACTCTTCTCATACATGATAGCAGGACCAAAATCATCAGTGGACAGAGGCTCAGATGGGAGATTAGAGTCAACTTAGACTCCCCAGAAATCTTCAGTTCTTTCCATTTTATCCCTTTCCTCTCAGCATTACAAATATGATGTTACCACAAAATCATGACTGTTACCATAGGCTATGTTGGGCTGTTGCCTGTGTGATTACTGGGCTAACATAGAGTGGGGGAGGTAGTAGGGAAGATAAAGGGGGCCCATGACAGTTATTACATACGAGGTTTCACCATGCTGGGGCTGCATTCTGTTCTGTACTTCTTACTGCAGGTTAAATATGTCATATGCTTGCATCTGCTTAGAGTCATCTATACATGGAATGTCCTCCACATTTTCCAATACCTTCCCAGTATGCTTTCAGACACAGCTCAGATATCACCTCTAAAAGAAAATCCCCTGTCCTGGTATATAACAATTCTTTTTCTCCTCTGTGCTCTCATGGCACCATCATCATTCGTTTATTGTATAGGTTATCTCATATTATAAGATAATTATTTGCCACTCATTCTTATTAGAACTCTTATCGAAGCTCCTTAAGGATGAGAATGATAGCATCAAGGCAATGTCAGGTTTATAGGTACATAAAAAATCCTTCAGAAATTAATTTCCTAAAGAGCTAGTTAAGCCAAAATTAAAATGGAAATTAACCATGATAATAGTCATTTAAATGAAAACCTTATTATATGTGATAGCTCATTAAAATCATATTATATAAACAGGAATATGTAAAGTAATTGATAAACCCTGACTCTGACACATTCTAATTATATGGCTTTGGGAAAGTTACTTTTCTATGCCTTAACTTCTCACTTATAAAATGGTAACAGCAATGTCTATTTCAAAAATTTGTAAGTTAAATCACATGTTCCATGTAAGATTCTTGGAGGATTATTACTGCTGTTATTATTTTTAAAATTTTAATTATTATTAAAATAACTAATAAAGATAGATTAGTAGAAATTTCATCTAAGATATAATTTCCTGAAACACAAAATAAATACTAAATTAAAAAAAGATACAACATAAATATAAAAGTCAGAATGAATGTTCATATGATTTTCAGAAATGTAAAATTCAAATTCATTCTTGATTGACTTGTAAATTTTACAGCCATGCAATTTAGGACATGAATATTTACTATGGAAATTTATTTTGATTAATCAGTGTTAGAAAGATATTCCTGAAAGCTCATTAGTTTAAATAATTTAAGTTAATTTGGCTCAGAAATAAATACTGAATCTTAAGTATAAAAGATGTCCTATATAGTCTCTACATATCTAACACTGACCAAATTACTTTGTTCATTTGGCAGTAATTGCCAATTCCTTTATGACTAATACTGAATTATAAATATGAATAGATAAAAGGAATTATTTATGAAAATTTCAAACTATGGAAGTATAGCTGATGGACTTCAAAGTGTCCATGCTTGAAACTGCAGTATGATTTGATTTAATGAGTCCTTCAAAAGTACTCTTTCTCAACAGAGCAATATTTATTATACATACCTTGTGAATGGTTGACAGGGAGGGCTCATTAAAATCATATTGAAAGATAATCTGTCAAACTCTTCTAGTGTAATACCCTAAGAAATGAACATGGGGGGGGAGGGGAAAGAATATGAAAACATGGACAGAACGGGAAAGAAGGAAAAGTGCTAACTATAAATAAACATGTCAGAAATTTTAATAGTTCCTTTAACACTTAATACTTTTCAAATCAACTTTACTTAAACTAACTTTAAACAATCTTGTGAGGAAGAGGAGCAATAAACAGAAACTATGAAAAATTAAGAGCCTTTCTCCAAGTCCCAGAGACAGCCAAAGCAGTGATAGAACACTGAATCCTAAATCAGGAAACAGTTTCCTGAATCCTAAGCATTTGAAGCTCCTGTGATGCTCAAGCCTAAAATTGCTGTTTTCTGGAGCTAAACATGGAGAACTTTATTTTATAATTAATGATTTTTATCATAGTATATCTATGAAATTTTAATATATAATATATCTAGGAAATTAATGATTTTTAGCATAGTATATCTAGGAAATTTTTAAACAGCTATCAATAACATATTTTAGATAGGAAAAATGAGGGACAGACCAGTCACCATGCCTTTCATATATATATATGTTTCTGCTAATAAATCACAAAATGGAGAAAGGTGTCATTTTTAGATATCCACAACTATTACATTGTTTTACAGTTGTGTATATTCAAAGAAATTCAAAAGATTACAGCTAAGATTAATTTAAGTAGTCACTATTGGCCTAAATGGTTGAAAAATGTGTTATTTTGCTCCCATATTATATAGCAAAAGATAAATGTAGAAAACCAACTCATGGGTTTGCCAAACAACTGAAATACTTTAACATTGATTGTGAGAATGTAAAATGGAACAAACACTATGGAAAGCAGCATTTTCTCAGAAAGTTAAAGAAACTGACCAAATGATCCAGCACTTAGGTATTTATCCATAAGAAATGAAACCAAAGGCCCATGTAAACTTATAAGTGAAATTTCATAGCAACATTTTCGCAATCTAAAACTGAAACAATCTAAATGTCATGTCTACGTTAGATGACTGACCAAATGATCCAGCACTTAGGTATTTATCCACAAGAAATGAAACCAAAGGCCCATGTAAACTTATAAGTGAACTTTCATAGCAACATTTTCGCAATCTAAAACTGAAACAATCTAAATGTCATGTCTACGTTAGATGAGTGGATATACATATTACACTATGTAATATTGCATTGCACTGAAAATTATTCACCAAAAAATTAAAGAAGAGCAAACTCCTGATATACACAACATGGGTGAATTCCAAAAATAAAATAAATTTAAAAGTTACACTCAAAAAAAGTATTAGAACTGGAAAATTTAAATGATATAATGACAGAAAGGAGATCAGTGGTTGCTTTGAGTTGAGATCAAAGAGCAACTAAAATGGGGCACTCAGGAATATTTTAGGGTGATGGATGTTCTACACCTTGATTGTGGTAGCACAATTATACACTTGCAAATATTGGTCAGAACTCAAATTCCAGACATAAAATGGGTGCAGTTTATCCTATATAAAATTATGACTTCATGAGAAACTTATATGAAAAAATATTCACAATAAATTGGGTGAGAAATACAATTTTATATTAGTTTTTGAGTAACAATGTTTATCAGTATTAAGTTTATCAGTATCCCTCCTGCTGAGTACCTTCAACTTTGACAGGCTGGCTAAATTGATAAAAAGCATTCAATAAGTAATAGCCAATGACTGCTTCTTGTTTTCACTCCTACATATGTATCACAATTATTGCTTAAAAGTAAATTATTAAAGAAAGTTAAACATCATTACAAAACCAAGCATCTAAAGAAGTCAAGTACATTCTATTTAAATCCGTTCTCTTGAAGACCAAATACTGAACTCTCTCTCAAGCTGTAAGTTTTTTTTTTTTTTAATTTAAGGGGGGGGGGATATAATCTAATAGACTATAAAATATTAATTCCCTTCCCCTAAACTTTTTCATTTATATGATTTATTCTCCACCTAACACCAGAAACCAGTATATTATAAGGCTATGCAATCACATTTATCTTGCTACATACTTATTAAAACAATGACAGTCATTACTCACTTCAATTGTCTTGGCAAGTAACTGGGTGTGAGGAAAATTATATTTGTATACTTCATTAGCAACAGTGTTTACATCAATGGCAGCCACCACTTTTGCAGGTATACAGCTTTCTGTAATGATAAAAACATTATATATATAAACTAACAAGTATTTATTCATGACCTCGTCTATTAATACAAATCTCCTTCTCAATACCACTGAGAATGCTTTTAGGTAAGTTCTGGTAAGCTTTTGTTTGTTTTTTTAATAATAGTTTTATTGAGTTATAACTGATATACCCCAAAATTCACTCAATTAAGTATCAGATAAGCTTTTTAATAAGATGAACAATTGGTGTCCAAATGTAAGCAGGTCATGGACCAAAAAATTAAAATTTTTGACAGACCATGACAGAATGTGAGAAGAAAAAGGGAAATAATTAAGAGGGCACTGACCTTGTCATGCTGCTAAAATCCTTTCAAAATCATTTCATATTCAGACAGTTTTGCCAGTCTTTACATGGCAGTCAAAATATAAACTTAAACTATGTAAGCAGAGCTGTTATCATTACGCTTTGCAATTACCACCTTCTTCACACTTCTTCCCGTCTTCCCGAAAACAAATATGTGTTATGTTAACCCTGTCCCAAATGAGGAGAAAGGGGAAGTTTTAAAAATAAAATTGAAACTTCTTTGGAAAATGATGAAAGAAAATACTGCAAATTACACAGCAGTTCCAAAAGACTATTTCTTTAACAATCATTTGCTGTTAATAGTTAATGTAGGTAGCCGAAACATCAAAAAATGAAAAAGAAAATGAGGATGTGAGGCACTGGAGTTCATGCCACAGGCACTTGGAAATAAAATCCATCTATGGAAGATGGGACAAGGGAGGAAGCCCCCCCACACTCAGAAAACAATCATAGTCCTGCACTGAGGCCTTGCAGATATGAAGGCAGAGACAAAACAGGGCACACACGTCCATTTTGTGTACTAGGCTCAAGACACTCAGCTAGAACACTTATCTCCTTGATACTCTGCTGCCTTGCATATGGGCCTCAGGGAACTTCTGAGCACTACTTAGTAATATCACAGGGAGCTGCCTCCAATCGAATTTACGTTCAATATCCAGTTACTTGAGTTAGTATAAAATAAAATTCTCATAAATAAAAATCAATCAAGAAGGCTTTTAAACAAACAAAAAAACAATTAGTATATAAAGGTGACTTTACAAAATTATAAATCTATTATAATTTAGGTCAAAGACTAAGCTACTACTAATTATTATAAGATCAGAATTAAATAAACTTAATTAACATACACAACTACTTTGCTGTTTTGCTATATAAGATATATTGTAATTATCATGGTATAACTAGCTTGCATTTCTACTATATATGGAGCAAATTGGGATTGTCTAGAACTGGTTAATATGACTTTTCCCTTTTCCCAGGCTGACTGAAAAAACCAGTGACATGCTAAATCTGTACCACAGTCAATAATTAATTTTTGTTCTTGTCTTACATGCCTGGAAGACATAACAACTAACAAAAAGCAACCACCAAGTGAGTGATGTGGCAATCCAAGAACTAATGAACTAAAAATTCACTCAGGAAACAATGGATTTTTAAGGTCAATTAAATTAGTTTGCACCCACTGATGTACATATTTTAGATTGATGTGAAATTAGAATGCACGACATGACCTAAAAAGTTACTTCCATGAGAAATGGATGTGCTAAAATAATACTGACACTAAACTAACTTGCCTTTCCAAAACCTAATAAAAACTGGATGGATATATTTCTAAGAAAACAGTTACTTATCAATAATACCAACATGAAAAAGCAAGAATGTCAATTCTGTCAAAAATCTTAGACTCCAAAACCAAGCTCCAAAACCAAGCTGTCTTGAAATTTCTTACTATAACCCTCTATCTGTAGCCTCTAAAAATTTTTAAGCTGTATACACAGATTTTAAAAATATTTAACTAAAAAAACCAAAGTAGTATAATTCAACAGAATTTTGCCTATGTTAAAGTCATCAATTAAATGATCCAAGAATAGTGATTCTCAAAGAAGGGACAGAATTTGGGGAAGACATTCCACCAGTATCCTTCCATGGAGGTGGAGAATTTGTTCTCAGTACTTTTCTCTAATGTTTTAAAAAACCCTGGATATTATTCATGTCATTTCAGTATTATTCTGGACTGCATACTTATCAACAGGTAGCACGGGCATAAAATGTAAGAGAAATTCAAGATAAATGATTTTAAAAGGTTGTCAGACTGATTCTGTAAGAAAAGGATAAAGGGAATCATGCTCCATTTACATGAGGATTGAACTAAAAAAAGGCTAATTTAGTTATTTCAAGACTTATAAGTGAGATGTCAGAAATGTCAAACCTGACAAAGTATGTATAATTCGTAATTATCAAATATATTTTTTATTAAACAAAAAACATACAACACACACATACATGTTATTTGAATAGCAATAATTTTCCTTCTTCTGTTCATACTTTGCAGAAAAGTTGTAGCAAAGAACCTCTGGTTAGTGATAGTGGAAAAGTACACATTCACACTCTATTTCCAAATATTAAATCAAAAAGTCCACATGGCCATACACAATTATTAATGAAAGCAGAGGAATAATCAATATTTTAAAAATGCAAACACAGAATTAACCAGCCATTTTGAAATAAGGAGTTTTATTTTTTCTTCTTTAACATTTATTTTCCAACCTGTGCCTCATATAGGTGAGTTACTTGCATTACCTCATTATAATCATACCTGAGACATCAGGTTTGTTAACACTGACACCTAGTTGTGAAATGGAAGATTAGATGAATACATCAGATGTCTATTTGCTTTCATTCAAATTAATAGCTTAATTAGGATGGAAGTACTGAGCAAAAAGAGACCTGCAAGGATTCTGAATCTAAAATCAGAGGTCAGCAGACCTCTCCTGACTCACCTGAGGCTCCCCTCAGCAGTGTATTTCAGTCAATCCACCTGTTCTGTTCTCCATTCTGTCTCTGATGAATCCTCTCACTCCCCCACACCTTCGCCCTGTACCCCAGTTCTTGTACCCATAAATAAATCTTTTTAAAAAAAAAAATCTCTCCAATAACGCTAGAAAAGTCCATTTATAATGGTATAGGCATAATGAAGTACCTAACATAACTTGTTCGTTCTCTCTCTCTCCCTGCCTCCCTCCTCCATCGTTTCCTCCATGTCTCCTCTCTCTCCTAGCAAGCCCCACATTACCCTTAGCCCTGAGGATGCAGACAGCCTCAACTTCCAGGGACACAGGCTGTTCTCTAAAAAGAAAGCTTATTTCTAAATATAGGTAGTTAAAATTAAAGCTCTAAACTCTATTAAAGCACAGCTCAACAGAACTTCCTGTGATGACAGATATGTAATGTATTTGTGCTGCCCAATATGACAGTCACTAGCCACATGTAGTTACTGAGAAATTAAAATGCAACTAGTGCAACTGAGCAACTAACTTTTCATTTTAATTTTACTTAGTTTAAATGTACATACTACATGTGGCTAGTGACCACCATATAGGACAGCACAGACCTATAATCATTGGAATCACCACCAGCAAAAGTACTGGGTGGTGGGAAGGGGGCATATATAGTGAGAAAAGAGAAAAGCAGAGTCTATGGAGTCAAGAGAAATTGTGTTCAAACTCTGGATCTGACACTTATTAGTTATGCAGTCTTGGAAATTTAACTTCTTTTCCTAAACTTTAATTTCCTAACAGGTTTTTTCTGTGAGAAAACTTTTTAACAGGCTTTTCCTCCATGCTTTCCACTTAGCATTCACTAACTTCTTTAAATGTGAATTATCCTCTTGAAGATCCCTCACTGGCTAGGCCAAGCCCAGCGGGGCTACCTCCCCTCCCCCTCGCCGGGACGCCCTCACAGGGTAAGGGACCAAGTCCCCAGGCCTCTCGGTGACAAATACACTTAGAATTGGGAATAGGCTCTAAGGAGGAGGCTCACCCCCATCCCTAAATCCCAATTTAGTCTGACTTCAGAGCCTAGTCTTGAGGCTCATTACTAACAAAATGGGACCGTGGAGGGGCCCCACCACCCTTCTGTATAGGGTTCAAGGGGTGAGGAGGAAAGTCTCCACGGGTCGCCAGCCCCGGTTTGCGCTTTCAGGAGGTTTCCTTGACAACCGAGCCCCCCTCGGTCCCCCGCCTGCACTATCCCCGCCCCCAGCGTCATCCCGCTCCGCCCCTCTGGCGCCCTAACTGGGGCCTGCACTAACGCGCAGATAAATAGTGAGGCATTTCTGCTCACTCTCACCTCGCAGCGCCTGGTGCATGCCTCCAATGCCGCTGTACAGCTCTAGGACCCGTAAGGGCTCCATCTCGAAGCCTCCACGCCGGGAAGCGAGGCCTACCTGGTGCTCGGTTCCTCCTCCTTCCGCCCGCGCAGCTCCCTGGCTTATGGTTCCGTGGCTCTTCCGTTCCGCCTTCTCCTGGGGTTGAGACTCAGAGCTTCGAGGGGCAACGCGGATTGTAGGGCTGGCGGGGGTCTGCGGGGGTATAAACGACTGGAAACTATAAGGCTTCCCATGTGAATAACAGTCACCCTTTGTTCTGATTTACACTCCATCTTGCTTCTAAAATGTACTAAGAAGTTTGAGTGGGGGAAAAAAACCTCAGGCTCAGTAGGTGGGTGAAATCTGTCCTCACTTCAAAATAAATTAACACAAGTTAGAATACAGAAAAACTCACTATTTTTCCACACGCTGTTTTCTTGTCCTTTGGTAGCCTAAAGTGTTCCAACTTTCCATTAGCCTCAACCTGTCCCAAGAGCCTGGTGTGCCCACAATGGAGTAATGGAGATAAATCAGTCTTTTTCCTAAGGAAGGTCCAGAGTTACAAGTTCAAAAAACAGCAACAAGCGGCCGAGCCCAAGAGCATGCTTTGAACTTATCGTAAAATGTTCTGGGAACACGACCTCTCCTTGCTCTAGGAGACAAAGGAGCAAGGCCATCTGCATAGACTTGAAGTCTGAACAGCTAAGAAATCTGATGCCTGCCTTCCGGTAAAGCTAGTTTTTTCACTTCCACTAATTACCACGGAGCGGGATAAAGATTTAACAATGGATAGCCAACCTTTTCATCTCTAATGTGCATTCTTTAGAAAGGAAGAGATTAAATCCCATAGTTGCTTTCCTCTGCATTTAGATAGCATCAACATAGCTTTAGGTTAAAAAAACCAAAACTCACCCTGTCAAGAATAATTACATTTTTAATGCTAACGACTCATTGTTCCCGTCTATATAAAATAACTTCAAACTTGTTTTTGTTGGAACACTTCTCAGAACAAAATCTGCCCTACTGCTTTGCCTTGCTTCCCAGGTTCGAATCCTCACTTTGATTATTTAATAAACTCTATCATTGAGTTTTTTTTTTCCAGTGATCAGTGCTAATATGGAAGCCACTTACTGCAATTGTTAGTGGGTTAATTACATTTTATGTTAGAAAAAATACCCTCATTATGTTAGGGGAAAAGGATGTCCTAAAGCTAATTCCATACAGGCTTTGTGGACTCCACCCCCACCCCAGGCCAAAGCCAAAGACACTGGGAACTCCAAATCCCATCACCACCAAAGGGAGGGTGGCTGGGACCTGAGGGTGGTGTTAAGCAGCCAGGGTGATATAAAGCCAGACACGTGGGCTTTGGAGGGGGTCCCCCATTTTGGCTCTCCACCAGCTCGCAGCGTCAGGCCAGCTCTGAGAGTGACTTTGGGTTTCCAGGTCGGCGGATCGGGTAGGACGCATTAAAGACTTTATTTCCCTATTTTCTCCCTGAGTTGTACATTATCCTTATTTCCTTTTCTCTTGTAAATAAACCTTTTATTAACCTTTTTTGTGTGCCTGTAGTGGAGTATTAATAAGTCCCTTTTAAGCGCGGGTGAGGACCCACAGCCAGGCAACCCGTTCAATATCAGGTCTGTCCTATAACAGCTATAGCATTTGCTGTTAATATAATGTAGGACTATTTATTGTCTCCCACTAGAGCCTTGCTTCTCCAGGATAGCCCAGCCACTGTATACTAAAGGTTGGATTACAAGCTAAGAATAAAATGGCCATATGCAAGAAGAGGAAATAATCTCATTATGAAGTGTATTTCCACTGTTTACCACCACCTGTTAACTTCTGTTAGGAAAAATTGTGAGTACCACTTGTAATAATTTGTTAGAAAATTTGCATGTGTGTTTCGTAAAACTGTTAAGTAAAAGTAAGACTAGTGTGTCTGAATTATAAAGTCATGATCCATTTTGATAATTCCTGTGAAAGTTTTACATTGTAAGTGTGTATGCCCTTTAAGTGTTTTGGTTTTATTGATCATTTATTTCAGAAAAAAATGTTGTGTGATAGAAAGTTACCATAGAGCTGAGCTTTATCCCAGGTATTATTGTAATATTACTACTATAGATATAGATTATGATGTAGAACATTGACTTAGAGTCAACAGCCAATATATTAAATAAGATATATGTCAATTAGTGTTATAAATCAAGAAAAATATGACCAAGGATCTCACTCTGCAGAGGAGAGATAGGACAGAATATGTGGAAGAGTTCATGAAAATTACCAACCCTTGAGTGGAAAGGAAGTAGAACCTGACCCGTACACAGGCTCAGAGAAGCATGTCAGCAAAAATTAGGGGCATGGTGCAACACTATGGGATATATTAATAGCATACTCTTAATTATTTAAGGGTTCATTGCCTGACCTAAAACTTACTGGCTTAATTCTTCCTCTCCTTGCCATCATTTCTCTAGTCTGCTTTTGCAGTCATCCTTGAGTCTCCATGATCCAAACCATTCTTTTTTCCCCAAGGAAACGCCATTTGGATTCCTATACAGGCGTACATAGAGAGAGGATACTCTGCTTACGCCAATTAGAGCAATGAATAAAATACATTCTGGTTGTACACAAAAAAAAAAATGTTTTTTTTGGTTTGGTTTTTTTTTTTTTTTTTTTTTTTGTGGGACCCTCACCGGCAGCTGGGGAACGAACCAGCGCTGCAGAGGCTGTGGGCAGCCTCGCAGCCCAGTGCTCAACCACTGCGCCACCAGGGGAGGCCCTCACAAAAAAAGAATTTTTTTTATGAATTGCATGGAAAATAAAAAAGTAGCCATATAGGTATAAATTGGCAATGAATGTCCTCAAGAAAAAAAATTATATTCAGAAGAAATATGTATTGGAAAGACCCAGAGAGTTCATCTATCACTCCTGAGCTCCCACTTATTGGAGATTGACATTTACTACTTTCAAATCTGCCAGCATCAGGCCCTCAACTTATGAGCTACTCATTAGGAGCACAGCATATTTCACAACCTGAGCGGTTTGATGGTCTAGAGCTTGAATTGGTAGAAAAACTGTCTTTAGAGTCATCTAAAATCCAGTTCCTCTTAGATTTGTCACCTGCACTGATTTTGTAGAACTCTCCCTCTTCTGTAATAAACTGTGTTGTGGATGAGACTGCAAACTGGAATGCCTAAGAGTGTAAATAGAAATCATAGATCTGCAATTCCTAGCTATGTGCCTTTGCAAAAGTCATTGCACATCACCAAGCCTAAGCACACATTTAAAATGTACAAAGAAGAGGACGTGTGGTTGTTCTGAGAATTAAAATACTTAACTCAGTCCCCAGTACAATGAAATGCATGGTTAAATAGTATCTATATAGTGACATTGTCCATGTGATGCATTCTCTGTCCCCTCCACAGCATGACTCTGATCCCTGAAGTCAATCACACTCCAGTGTGGTGATGCCTGTTTTAAGAGCCATAACTGAACACTGGGCCCCAAACAAGGTTAGATCAGCATAGTACAGACCAGTCCAGATGACCATAGATATCTGGGCTCTAGGAGAGTGTGTAGGGGAAATTCCTAGGCTTGGAGCTCTGCGAAGAAAGGGCTGGAGTCTGCAAGCCCTCTGCATGGCTAAGGGAGATGCTGAACACAGACGCACAGGTAATCAAATATATCAGCACACATGTAGAGACTGCCCAGCTCTGAGCTCCTGGGAAGGGATAACTGTGAAAGTGGGCTTACAGGCCTGGCAATCTTATGACAGAAAATGCTCCAATGACCTTATCCAGGATGTATGAGTTAAGACCTGGGTACAGATGAGAGGAAAATTACTAAAACCATCCAATCACTTATTGACTCTATTATGTGCCCGAAATTTTTAATTAAACCCTGAAAGTATAAAAATCTGTAATGTGTCTGACCATAAAAGTGTCAATAATGAAAAATGGCTTAAAACTTTCTATTCCATAAAGATGGAACTGTTTTTACAAATTTCATAGATCCTCTAGAGCTACTGCCCAATAGGTGGTCACAAACCACATCTGGTGATTTCAGGTTACATTAATTTGATATTAAATACTTAGTTCATGAATCACAATAGACATGGTTCAAGTGTTTTAAAGCTACCTTTGTTGGCCAAAGTATTACTCAGCAAAGACAGGACATTTTCATCACTGCAGGAAGTTCTACTGGAAAGAGCTGCTCAAAAATGGTGGTCTCTTGAAGTTCTTATGGGTAGCCCATCAAGATATGAACAGTGTGGAAGTGTTTAACAATCACTTTTTGAACAGTGGTTTAAAATAAGTGCCTCCAAAAACATGCAGTAAAAGGACCCAAGTAAAAATATTTCCCTTCTTTCTCTGTATCCTGTCACCTTATTCATTAAACATGAGTAAGAATAGAAAGGGAAAATTCACAGGACACAATAAATGTGTTCTAGCAGTGATATGATAAACTCACAAGCAAAAAAGAACAAATGGAAAATGATGAACTTCCTGGTGTCTTAAAAGAATAGTGCTTTTCTTTTGTGAAGTATATTCTGATGCTTCAGAAGAAGGAACAGAATGAGTGTTTTAAAAGTAGAATCAAGAGAAAGTTATTGATTTTCTGCTGAAAAACATGGAAGCCATGCTGTTTGCCTTATAACTGCCATTTCAAAGAACTCAGTTATGGATTTTGACACATATTTTTCTCTTTGAGGGTATTTCTGAAATTTGTAATTTACAATGTTTTATAGTACAGTTTAAAGATTGTATTTTAGTTAAATTAAAGATAGTGAAATTCTCTTTGAAACTGCTTTCATAAGTTAGAGCTAGAAAAAATCTTAAGGGACCATTTTCCAGTGCTTTTTCAACTATTTTTAGACATGATCCTTTTGTTCAAACAATCTCTTCTAGAATCTGGCAGGAGAGGTAGAGTGAGGACATGTGTACTCAGGTACACACACACACACAGCTGCTCTGTTTGAAGATGGGGGTGGGATACAGAACAATGCCAGATCTCCTTTCCTACCTCCTTCAATCACTATGGGCTACCTCTAAATGACTCCAGGGGCATGGATTGTAAACCTCTGATTTCATCCAACTTCAGTTTGAGATTTGAAGACAGAGAGATTCAGAAGTCTTAGATAACTTGCACTAGCCCACAGCTGGGTACAGAACAGGGGATTCCAAATCATGTTTCCTCAAAAGGTCCTTCAAGGACTAGCTATAGTATAACTTAAAACAAAAAAATAGTAATAAAATCCTTATATATGATTTTATCAAGGCAAGTCTAATGCCTAGTGAGTCCATACTCCCATAGATAAAGCTGAGACTCCAAACTAAAGCAGTCAAGTCACCAGAATATGTTGCTTCCTAAATACAAGTTGACCCAAAGAATGAAGGCAACTTTGGATTATGAAGCTAAATCATACGGTAGTGCATGTCATTAAAGCTTATGTGGCAATGTATGTCAATAAACATCAGACAAAAAGATGAATTTTGCTTAACAAAAAAAGGACAATTTCAAAGACTGATTATTATAA